GATAATCTATGTAACTGTATTTGTGTATACCTGAATAAACTTACTTACATACATACGAAAGGAATAATTTTCTACAGTTACCCCAGTAACACATTTACTCTTATGTTAGATTAGAGAAAATGTTATTCTGTGCGTCACTTGTACAAGTTATGTGGCTCCCACATCTTATATTTATGTTTATTTATTCTATTGTGGGGTGTATTTATCATCTTTTTATGTTATGTATCGTGTTTATTATATAATTTTGAAAAAATATCATGGATGGATTAATGAAAATGTGTATATTACCGTAATATACGACATTTAATGAGACTCGGTATTGTTATTATCACCACTTGTGCAAGTCGTCTGCTACGACATCTCACATTTGTTTATTTATTCTACTGTGGGGTGTATTTATCTTATTTATATGTTATGCATCGTGTTTATTATATGATTTTTGAAAAAAATATCATGGATGGATTAATGAAAATGTGTATATTACCGTAATATACGACATTTATGAGACTCAGTATTGTTATTATCACCACTTGTGCAAGTCGTCTGCTACGACATCTCACATTTGTTTATTTATTCTACTGTGGGGTGTATTTATCTTATTTATATGTTATGCATCGTGTTTATTATATAATTTTGAAAAAAAAATATCATGGATGGATTAATGAAAAATGTGTATATTAACATAATATACGACATTTAAATGACTCGATGTATGTAAGTTTATTTAGGTACAGGTATACATAAGTATAATTATCAGAGTATATATAAAATATGAAATAACTTTTAAAAACATTTGAAATTTGGAGTTTCCAGACAAAATGGAGAGACTTAGTGCTTACTGAGCTCATGGAGAATGTAAACAAACAGGGTGGGGCACGGTGACCGTATTAGAAAGTCAGGTGGGGGGAGCCGTATAGTGAGTTTTGGTCATAATTTGAAATGTCGTATTAGCGGAACGCCGTAAAGTGAAACGCCGTAAAGCGGGGCCTTCCTGTATATATATATATATATATATATATATATATATATATATATATATATATATATATATATTATACACACACACACACACACCTACCATCCGACTTACGACCAAGTTCGGTTCTGAGAAACCGGTCGGAAGTCGAAATGGTCGTAAGTCGAACTTTACTACTGAATATCAACAAAACATTTTTGCAATGACTTTATTTTATTGTTTTATTTTGGTATTTCATGTTTTACTTTACTTTTTATGTTGTTAGTACTGTATTTTATACTGTAAGGTTTAGGATAAACACTGTGTATAACACAAATTATTGTTTATTTCCCAGAAATTTGGCATAAAAAACACGGTCGTAAGTCGAGCGGTCGTAAGTCGAGCAGGTCGTAAGTCGGATGGTAGGTGTATATATATACACAGTGGACCCCCAGTTCGCGATGCTATTGGTATCCGGTATCCGATGCATTATATCGCAAAAAATTGGCCTCGGTTCCCGTTACAAAACCCGGTATGTGATACGATTCGTACGAGATGTGTCCACGTGTGGCCTGAACTGCCCTGTGTGTGCCAGTGTTTACAAGCCAGCCAGTGTGCACGCATCTAAGGATACATTCAGTACATTCCATATTATCACTGTTTTTGGTGCTTGTTTCTGCAAAGTAAGTCACCATGGGACCCAAGAAAGTTTCTAGTGCCAACCCTGTGGTAAAAAGGGTGAGAATTAGTATGGAAATTGAGAAAGATTTTGAAGGGTTTGGGGCTAACCCTGAGAAGCCTGTGCCAGTTGTGGAATCCATTGTGCCTACTTCAAAACTTAAGGAAATGTGTGCACAGTGAGTTGAACTGCAAACCTTTATGGATGAAAATCACCCTAACACAGCTATTGCAATCCGTGCTGGTGACTATTACACTGACAATATTGTGAACCACTTTAGGAAATTCATAAAGGAACGAGAGGTACAGGCCTCTATGGACAGATTTGTTGTGCGACAGAAGTCCAGTGACTCTCAAGCTGGTCCTAGTGGCATTAAAAGTAGAAGGGAAGTAACCCCAGAAAAGGACTTACTACCTCAAGTCCTAATGGAGGGGGATTCCCCTTCTAAACAATAGGTTCAACACTCTCCCCTCCTCCCATCCCATCAACCATCACCATATCTTCATTAAAGGTAAGTGTCAATTATTCTATTATTATTATTCTATTGTTATTGCTATTTATAATTATTCTATTGCATTAAACTTAATATTTCATGTGGTAAAAGTTTTTTTTTTTCTTACTTTTGGGTGTCTTGCACAGATTAATTTGATTTCCATTATTTCTTATGGGGAAAATTGATTCGCTCTCCGATAATTTTGGTTTACGATGAGCTCTCAGGAACGGATTAATATCGCGAACCGGGGGTCCACTGTATGTATATATATGTGTATATATATGTGTGTATATATATATATATATATATATATATATATATATATATATATATATATATATATATATATAATATTATATATAATTTATATATATAATTTATATATATATACATATATATATTTATCTTTCTTTCTTTCTTTCCTTTTCTCTTTTTTTTTTTTTTACACAGGGTTTGACAAGGTTAGGTTAAGGTTCCCTAGCTTTATTGCTTTATTCTGCCCGTCTTGTGGTAAAGAAGCTTGCTTCACGCTGTCCTCAAAGTGGATCAAGTGTGGTACTTTGACAATGTTGGCCTTGTACATAACAGTAAGGCCACCCACATCCCTCCAGTGTTGAAGGCTCTGCTGAAATGACAGTTCTATCCAGGATGGGTCCAGGCAAGAGATGAGACATCTTGCTCTGTTCTCTGCTCTCCTCTGTTCTCTGCTCTCCTCTGTTCTCTGCTCTCCTCTGTTCTCTGCTCTCCTCTGTTCTCTGCTCTCCTCGGTTCTCTGCTCTCCTCGGTTCTCTGCTCTCCTCGGTTCTCTGCTCTCCTCGGTTCTCTGCTCTCCTCGGTTCTCTGCTCTCCTCGGTTCTCTGCTCTCCTCGGTTCTCTGCTCTCCTCGGTTCTCTGCTCTCCTCGGTTCTCTGCTCTCCTCGGTTCTCTGCTCTCCTCGGTTCTCTCTTTCTCTACTCACTCTCTCTACTCACTCTCTTTCTCTACTCATTCTTTTTCTCTACTCATTCTCTTTCTCTACTCATTCTCTTTCTCTACTCTCTCTCCTTTTTTTCTTGTATCTTCCTTTTCCTCTTTCTCTTTTCCTCTTTCCTTCCCCTATCACCTTTTATTGCAAGTTAACCTTCTTGAACTAAAATACTTGAAAAGGTTTCAAGTGCTGCTTGAAAGTTGGCAGCTGGTGTCATTTCATCCTCCCTTCCCACTGTAATAAGAGAGGACACACAACCTGTTTGAGGAAGAACCTGATGTTGCCATCTTCTGTTATCCTCCAAAGGAATGTTCGTCAACACTCCTCATCTGCATGCTAGTGACTTTCTTTTGTGCCCAACAATATTATATTGCATGTAAACTACATTATACCTGTATACTACAGAAAATAAGTTATTTATATCCATTTAACAAACTGCTATATTCAGTTTTCTTGAACAAATGCATGCATGCACTACCTTGTTCCCGCTAGTCATTAATGCACTCTCCTTTATTCTTCCTTTAAATATCTGGTTATCCTTAAATTATATGTAGGTGTTTAGCAGTTGCTTGTGTAGGTAGACAGTAGTCTCGTAGTGAGCCTCCTTATGTTCATGCCATGTCTTTCCTTCCCTCTTTGGGAGATTCCAGCAATTAAAGTTTTCTCCTTCCTGCTGCCATGCATGGAGGTTCACATGTCTACTACAGACTTGTGTGTGCTCTTCCTTGAACACCATGCACACTGATGCTTCCATGTGGCTTTTTTTCCTTATAGTTATTCAGTGACATTGCTAGAATACTAGTATTTTCATAGCAGATTTGTATGTAATAGTCATCAATATCATACACATTGCAGTCATGTCTGCCTCATCATTCATTGTTGTTTCTGATTCCTAAAGTGTGTTGCAAGCTATCCAGAAATTTGACTCCCCCACATCCCATTATCCTTTGCATACAACAATGTTGTTGAATTATAAATAGGTAATGTCCAACAAGCTCTTTGAAATGTGAGGAGATGAGGCACAAGTGGCACCTTAAGTTAGAGTGGGCCATGGGGATGTTAGGAAATACTTTTTTTTTCATCTTGAGGTCAAAAAGGTGTAACTCGATTTCTGCAAATTCTGCCAAGTAATTCCAAGATTCACACTGACCAAGCATACACACAGGATTATGTATACTGAGAGGTGTATATACACTTGAGAGTTTACTTTATTACCTGCTTTAGGGATTCAAGTTATTTTGACTAGTGGTGAGATTGCATAGTCTTAACAGACCTTGTGTAATCAGTGGGCTTTTAAACCTCATTAACCCAGCAGCCAGCACATGCATACCTGCATGACCACAAAAACAAGCCGAGCATTGATGCTTGTCTACAGTTAGGTACAGCCAGTGAGCGTGACCAACCCCTCCCTTCCTCTCCTGCCACTCCTTCCCTACCCTTTATCACATTATTCCATTTCCCTTTTTATTCTTCATTTACCTGATCTTCCTTTCCCTTACCTCACCTCTCTTCCTTCTCCTAATCACTCTACCTCTCTTCATTTCCTCTTTCCCCTCCCCCCTGTTTGCCCTCCCTTACCTCTTTTCTCCCTCCCTTCCCTCCATTCCTTCCTCTGTTCCTGCCCCTCCTCCCCCTTTCCTCTCTCCCTTCTCCTTCCTACTCCTTTCTTCCCTTCTCCTTCCTACTCCTTTCTTCCTTTGTCCTCTTTCCTCTCCTTTCTTCCCTTCTCCCCTTCCCTCTCCTCTCTTCCTTCCCTCATTCTACTCCACACCCTCTTCCCATGCCTTGCCTCCTTTTTTTTCCCCTTCTCTTCCCTGGCTTCTCCCCCTTCCCTCTCCTCATGGGGAGGGATGAGGGTTAGTGTGGTGTAGTGGGAGTATAAGGAGGTTAGTTCCACATTGTTGGTGGTGGCAGCAGCAGCAATTTTGGTGACTGTAGTGGTGGTGACACCAGTGCTCTGTTGACTGTGTGGTGGTAATACACTTCCCTAGTAACTATAGAGGTGGTGGTGGTGATGACAGTAATGTATTGATTGCAGTGGTGATGTGTTGAAGTTACCTGAAGATAGTTTCAGGGGTCTCCACCCTTTTGGCCCAGTCCCAGACTTGGCCTCCTAGTTGATGGCCAGTTCAGCCAAACTGTTGGTGCTAGCTTGATCAGTTCTGATCAGCCTGGCTGATCAGGACTTAACTTGAGGAACTTAGTTCCTTCTGGAAGACAGCCAGTGATCTGTTTGTAGTTTCCCTGTGTATGAAAGGGGGGTGTTCAAGAATCTTGGTCCTTTTTACACTTATTGAGTTATCTCTTAGTGTGGCCAGCCCTGTGGTTGCTATCTTGAACACTGTGCTTGATTGTCCACTTATTGAGGAATATAGATACAGTATAATAATCTATGTGACATGGCAAGGTATATTTTTAATGGAAATATGTACCAGATATATTAAGCAAATTTCCTTAATTTGCTAGTAACAGATTAGTGAACTGTAGATATAAATCCAAATGTACTCTTGTTAACCCTTCTGGGGCCTAGTTCCTAGGCCTACTGTGTATTCATATGTTCTTGCACTACCATCCACAGGATGGATATAGGGTGCACAATAAACTAGCCATTTCAGTGGCAAAATCTAATCTAAATCTTAGTGCATTCGTTGTATTTCTGCTTTTTATCAGTGATATTTTGCACTGTCTTCTGAGCCTCTTGTTTTTGTAGGAAGTAATTTCTGTGTAGATTTGGGACAACGTCCTCCAGATTTTTGCATGTGTAAATTATTGTATGATCTATTTTTCTCGCCTATATTCCCGGGAGCACTGCTTAAGGGACTTAGGCATTTCCCAATAATTCAAGTAATTCACTGAATTTATACATACATTGAAGTCTCGGTTGAATTCTATAAATCTGCAATTTCACCAGACTTAAAGGGACTGTTAGTGTTCAGTAATATTCCAGCCTAGAGAGGTGGTGACAGTAGTATTTGGTTGAAAGTACACTTTGATGGTGATAATAGTGCCTGGTTGGTCATGGTGGTAATGATGGTGCCATGGTGGTAGTGTAGAGGTGGTGATAACAAGTGTCTGGTTGACATTGGCAGCAAAATAGTGTGGAAATTGTGATAATGATAGTATAGTGGTGAAACTCGTGTGTTGGTGATAGTGTTTCTGGCAGTGATACTGGAACTATTGGTAGTAGTGGTGTAGTGTACAGAATACTAGCTCTCACTGATGATGGATTACACCCAGTCATACACTCGCTCTTGGATCATCAAGAGGACTCCACACTAACATACTGCAGTCTTATAAATTACACATGTACAATGCAGGTAGGTTGAGGTGTGTGATGCCAACAGTTATATTTTCATTGTAAAAGTAGCAAACAGGTGTTACATAGACAGTATTTTGGCCAAAGTTTGGTCATGAGAGTTTAAGGGAGGGGAGAGCCTTTTTTTATAGATTAGGAAATTAAGATGGAAAAATTACGGAAAAAAATGTTTTCTTACTGAAAAATAGTGCATAATTCTGGCATAATTCTGAGTGTCTCCCTTAGTAGCCTGCAGGCTGTCAACAAGGAAGGAGGGGTGCAGTACGCTGAGATTTGGCGTGTCATAACCGTAGAGTTTTGCACCAAAAAAAAAACTCAGAAATAAGTTATTGACATTGTTTTCCATTTTCTGCGATAAGTATTAACCCTTTGACTGTTTCGGCCGTATATATACGTCTTACAAGCCAATGTGTTTGACGTATATATACTCAAAAATTGTAGCGGCTTCAAATCAAGCAGGAGAAAACTGGTAGGCCCACATGTGAGAGAATGGGTCTGTGTGGTCACTGTGCACAGTATAAAAAAATTCTGCAGCAAGCAGTGCATAATGAGAAAAGAAAAACTCTGACCATGTTTTTGGATTAAAACGCCGACTTTGAGGTGTATATACGTACAGTGGAACCTCAAAAATCGAACGTTTCGAAAATAGGACCATTTTTTCGGACAAACTGTGTCCCTATTATCGAACGCGCCCCTATTTTCGGACCGCTGGGTACGGGACCTGTCTGCCGCCCTCTCTGTTCGTGTCCCAGTGCAGGCGCCATGAGCAGTCTAGCTTTGTTTATGCTTGAGTGAACACTAACCTGCGCTCTCATTCACGCATTTTACGATTATTTCATTGTGTTTAGTGCTTGTGGGACTGAAATAAGCTGCCATGGGCCCAAAGAAACTTGCTAGTGGTACCCCTGTGGTAAAGAAAGTGAGGAACACTATAGATGTGAAGAAGGAAATAATACAGAAATATGAGACTTGTTGAGCTTGCCAGGATGTATGGGAAAAACAAGTCGACCATCGGTTCTATCCTGTCAAAGAAAGAACAAATCAAGGAAGCTGATGTTGCAAAAGGTGTTAATATAGGGAGTGGATGAGGTGCCTTCTTCAAAGATTAAGGAGATTTGTGCCAAGTGGAATGATGTCCAAATGTTTGTGCAGAAGTACCACCCTGAGCAAGCTGAAACAAGCCATCTTTGCAACAAGTTCAGTGACAGAACCATGTCCCATTTTAGGGAAATGTTAGAGGCACCAGAAACAGAGGACTGTGGACAGTTATTTTGTGAGACAGGGGTCCAGTGACTCAAGCTGGTCCTAGTGGCATTAAAAGACAGAGAAGGGAAGTAACCCCAGAGAGGGCTTTACCTGAAGTCCTCATGGAGGGGGATTCTCCTTCCAAACACTAACCCCAACTCCCTCTCTCTCCTCCTCCCAATCTTCCAGATGCCATCACCAATCTTCAATAAAGGTAAGTAAAAATGTTATTTTATATGTATTACTATACATAATTAAAAACTATAGTATTTGTTGTATGTAAAACTGTAATTAATCTCTATAAAATGTATTTTTTGTGTGAATATTTTTGGGTTTCTGGAACGGATTAATTGCATTTCCATTATTTCTTATGGGAAATATTGCTTCGAATTTCAGACTTTTCGAATTTAGAACTAGCTCCTGGAACGGATTAAGTTCGATTTTTGAGGTTCCACTGTATAGTTTTTATGGTTATATTCTCGTTTTTGTAGTCACATTTGATAGAATGGAAAACATACTATAGAAATAGAGGTGATTTTGATTGGTTTTACTATGAAAAGGACCTTGAAATGGAGCTCAAAGTAGGGGAAATGTTTGATTTTTGCCAATGTTCGAGAGTAAACATTGTGCAATAAATGTCCAACTAGCCATTCTAATATGAAGTCATGAATGGGTTGACATTATTTATACAATTATTACAGTATTACAGTAGTCTGCATAACAGTAAATCTTCTATATTTTGTTTGAATAAAAATTCAAAATAGAAAGCAAGAGTAATATCAGAGGGGCCTGGAGACGTGACTGATGAACAAAGAAAATTATATTTTAGAGCCAGGAATGTCTGCAGTGTTCATTCTGGACCCTATTTTGAAATTGGCATATTTTTTAATTTGCGTGAAATTGGCCAAATTGCCAATTTCTAACCACTTTATTGGATAGTTGAAATCGGTAAATGGGCAGTTTCTTGTACTCAGTCAATAGAACAAATGGAGTTCTAAAGAAATAGCTATGAGTTTGGTCGACTGGAACAATGAAATTAGCTGAAAATAGGGCTCAGAGTGGGCGAAATCGCCGATTTGTAAATATCGCCAAGGTCACTAACTTCGCGAGAGTGTAATTCCATGAGTTTTCCATCAAATTTCGTACTTTTGGTGTCATTGCCATCGGGAAAAGATTCTCTTATCATTTCATGAGATTTTTTTTTCTTCAAATATTTTGCGACACCAGGAGACACCTGAATATGATGTGCTAAGTAAATAAATAACTGCTGCCACTGAATAAGTAAATAAATAAAAAATATATTAATTCGTTCCAGAAGGCTGTTCGGGTGCCGTTACCGAACGAATTTCCTCTCATAAGGAATATTGTAAATTAGATTAGTCCGTTTCAGACCCCCAAAAATATACTTACAAAAGCACTTACAAAAATATACTTACATAATTGTTCGAGTTGGGAGCTGATCGTTAGTCGAGGGTCCACTGTATGTACTAGTATATTATCGTAAGTCAAACCATTGTGTGTACCATGCAAGGACCAGTGTGTTTTCTGATATCAGTGTCTAATTTCTAAAGCCGGTGTATCTTAGTAGAAAATTCAGATTGGTTTTGGGCTGCTTTCACTACCAATTTCCCCTCCCTTTTTTTTTTTATGGAGATAGTTTCAGCACAACAAATTGATAAAAATGCCATGCGGTTAAGACTTTGGTGGTGGCTAGGAGCCGGTCAGATGGATACCGTGCTCCTTCCCTTGCCTTGACCAGTGACATGAATATTCACCTGGAGCAGAATTCTGTTATGTACTATATATCCAGTATACATCTTCAGTTTTATGTTAAAATTTGATATACTGTATGTTTTGGTACAGTATCTTATATGCTGGCTTTTCATTTGTTTTTATTTTATTTTCAGTTGCAGGAAGACTTGAGAGAGATCAGTGGCTTGACGCATGCAGATCAGTCACCAGGAGCTACTGGCTGTTCCTCACCAATACCTCTCTGTGAAGATCCTGAGGATGAAGTAGAGCCTGGGGAACTAGTGTGTTCCTTCCCTCTGAAAAACTGGTGTACATGTTACCTCTGTTGCGATGATGGGCATGGCAGCACATATTTTCCTATATCCAGCAGATATGGCTGCAATTGTTTTAGATGTCTCCATGGCTGTGTGAACAAGAGTCACAAAAGCAGCAAACATTCCAATAATATTAATGATGATTTGCCAAACAATAAAATACTCGTAGGTGAAACCAGTGATGACCTCCATTTAAATATTTCAGAAAATTGTTTGTCCAGACAAAAAATTACAGAAAACAAAATTGCTAGTGAAAGTTTACATAGCACTTCTCATAAATTAGTAAGCAGCGAAAAAAACTTCGGAACAGTAAACAACTTTTACACTATAAAAGCACATGTGCACAATTACAAACAAATAATTGCTCAAAAATCATCAAATACTGACATCATATTAATGGTCAAGAGGAATAGCAGGGGACATTCAGTTAATTTTCCTCTCTTAAGGTTACCTGCTGCTGAACGTGGCTATGTCAGCGTGCATCCCAAGCAGACTTCAAGTTTTGAAGATACGTGGAAGCAACATCTGGGCTCTTGGGATGCTCTGGTGCTTCCACTTGGTAGAAGTATTGAAGCCCAACAGTGTTTACCTCCAGATGACAAACTATTGGCTCTTCCATTACTAAAACTTCCACACGAGGTGCAGCAACCTAGAAATCATACAGATGGACACACACCAGTATTCGTTAAAGATAAGGAGAATTATTCACCCCATACAGTATTGAAAAAACATTTTGATAAAAAATTGCAAAAAAAGGATAACATTTTGTTCTTCACAGAAGAGGGCCAGACATTTTCACCTGCATTTGGGAACAAATGTACAAATGTTAACTCTAAACTGCTTCCACATGACTGTTGTCCGGCTTCAGATAAAAGAAGTCTGAGAGCGGAGGTATCATCAGAGGTGTGTTGCATACATTTGATTTTTTATAAAGTTTAACACTTTGAAACATAGGTGCTTGCATAAATCAAAATCATAATCATTAGCAGTTCATTTGATTGAAAGATATTTCAAAAACTTAATCCAATTTTCTTGCAGCCAAGAATGGACGGGATTGAAGTGGTTAAAAAGATTGGCCATGGGAGCTATGGCTCTATCTGGTTGGTTAGGAGATCCAGTAACAAGAAAAATTTAGTTCTCAAATGTGTAAGTATGAAACTTGTTCCTCTTGGCCTACCTATGTTGTAGCAGTGGTGGAGCAGTCAAGCAGTAGATGTGTGGCAGTTGGGGTGAAAAATAAACAGGTACAATAAAAGTTTATTTTAATGTGGTACAATGTGTATACAGAAATGGGTGGCACTTGAGAGCATGTTGAAAGCCCAAAGTTATACAGAGAATTTTGAGCAAGCTTAAGCCTAACTTAAAACTACACCACCATTTACTTTTCTGTAGTGTACAGAGCAAGGCCTGGTTGACTGGCCAGGGGCAACCAAACTGTGGTACCTCTGCACAATTAAAAGAAAAAATTTTGTTTACAGTATGGTATATGATCAAGTATTTATTCCCAATTTATCATAAGCCCTAAAGGGATAATACTGCTGCAGAATAAGATTGTGATCATGTCTTCAGATTTTTGTTTTGCATTTTACTGCCATATTCCTGCATACCTTCCACAAACTCTATTTCATGCATGTGTACCTGGGGTCAACACCCCAGCAGCCCGGTCTTTAACCAGGCTCCTTTTATTCACAATTTATCTTTACACATGGTCAACATCTGACATTGAAATATATCCCAAAAATTCTAGTGTCTTGTACTTGGTATTCATTGTCCCAAATATTACAAAGTGACTGTGCAGAGACATCATTACAGTACTTAAATTTCTGCAACCTCCTCCCTACAATTTCTTCACACTTTATCATGGGGAGTGGATGTCTGTTTAATTATCTTGAGACAAACAATTTCAGTCACCATTTCCTCCTGTAATTTTTTGTAATGTCTACTGCATTTTGATAAAAATTTGCATTTAATGACATTTTAGATCTTAGATGGATATATATTATGGTGATTAGCAACTTGGTGATTGAACATTCAAATGGTATAAAATACCGACAGGTTGTTAGGTAAGACACATATGCAACAGTTAGGTATCTTTATTTCGAAACGTTTCGCCTACACAGTAGGCTTCTTCAGTCGAGTACAGAAAAGTTGATAGAAGATGAAGATACTTGAAGACGATGTAATCAGTCCATCACCCTTGAAGTTTTGAGGTGGTCAGTCCCTCAGTCTGGAGAAGAGTATTGTTCCATAGTCTGAAACAATATGGAGTTGAAGTGACAGGATGGAGCCTTATATAACGCCAGGAGGTGAGATGTAGGCCACTAGTAGAGGTAAGAATGTTGTCGTTGGAAGGTCAGGTCCCTCTCAAATCCAGCCATTCTCACTAGAAGAAGTTAACAAGGTTGATTTCAGGTCTGTACCAAGATACCTTTGTGTTGCAGTGTCTGACAGAGTGAACATTCCAGACTGAGGGACTGACCACCTCAAAACTTCAAGGGCGATGGACTGATTACATCGTCTTCAAGTATCTTCATCTTCTATCAACTTTTCTGTACTCGACTGAAGAAGCCTACTGTGTAGGCGAAACGTTTCGAAATAAAGATACCTAGCTGTTGCATATGTGTCTTACCTAACAACCTGTCGGTATTTTATTCCATTTGAATGTTCATTCTGTCAGACACTGCAACACAAGGGTATCTTGGTACAGACCTGAAATCAACTTTGTCAACTTCTACTAGTGAGAATGGCTGGATTTGAGAGGGACCTGGCCTTCCAACGACAACATTCTTACCTCTACTAGTGGCCTACATCTCGCCTCCTGGCGTTATATAAGGCTCCATCCTGTCACTTCAACTCCATATTGTTTCAGACTATGGAACAATACTCTCCTCCAGACTGAGGGACTGACCACCTCAAAACTTCAAGGGTGATGGACTGATTACATCGTCTTCAAGTATCTTCATCTTCTATCAACTTTTCTGTACTCGACTGAAGAAGCCTACTGTGTAGGCAAAACGTTTCGAAATAAAGATACCTAACTGTTGCATATGTGTCTTACCTAACAACTTGGTGATTAGCAACAGTTGGGATCCTCTCCAAGATACGATACTACGTGCCACAAAATGCCCTTCTCACACTATACCATTCACTCATTTATCCATACCTCACCTATGCTATTTGTACTTGGGGTTCAACTGCAGCAATACACCTAAAGCCAATAATAACTCAACAGAAAGCCGCAGTAAGAATAATCACTGAATCCCATCCCTGGCAACACCCCCCCCCCCCCACTCTTCATTGATCTAAACTTACTCCCTGTTCAGAACATCCACACTTACTACTGTGCAATTTACATATACAGGACCTTAAATTCCAGTATTAACCTTGACCTAAAATGCTTTCTTGATAGTTGTGACAGGACCCACAAGCATAACACCAGACACAAACATCTCTATGACATTCCCCGTGTCCGACTAAATCTATACAAAATTTCAACATATGTCAAAGGCCCTAAAATCTGGAACACCCTACCTGAAAACTCTAGAACTGCAGACGCATTCATCACCTTCAAAACTACCGTTAGAAAACATCTTATCTCCCTGATACACCCTGTCAATTAACTACATAAAAACCACCTGGTGGTTCACACTTACACTCACTCACTCACCCATTTGACTTTAAGCACAGAAATACGTATCTTAATCTTATAATAATGATTCCTAACTAGTCACAAGTTTGCCTGTGATACTCCAATATAGAAACTATGTATTGTGCCAAAACAAAAGCATTCACATTGCTAAACTCACAAACTAGTATTTAGTCAACTTACTCCACAATTTGTAATAATTTAGGGTTAAGAATTAATCCAAGTTTGCCCGAAATGCCTAGCCTTGCTAGGTGTTCTAGTGGCCCCTCTGTAATTAGTATTTTATTACATGTAAACCACACAACCAAAATCTGTAAACCCCGTATTGTAATCCTTATAGAGAATAAACTTTGATTTGATTTGATTTCAGGGTCCAGAGGCCAAATTTCAAAGTGTGCACCAGGGCCGAAGAATTTTCAAAAAATAATTGTTATTTTTTCTTACGAAATGGTAGAGAATCTTTTTCTGAAGGTAATAAAACAAAATGTATGAAATTTGATGGAAAATTGACGAAATTATGCTCTCACGAATTTTGATGTTGGTGATATTTAGGCATTGGCGATTTTGCCGACTTTGGCTCCCATTTTAGGCCAATTACATTATTTCAGTCAATAAAATTCTTAGCTATTTCACTAGTATTATTTCTATTGTATTGATTGAGCACAAGAATTCACCAAGTCAACTGTTTCAGCTATAAAATAAAGTGACCGGAAATTGGTAATTTGGCCAATTTAATGCATAGTTCAAAATACTCCAATTTCAAAATAGGGTCCAGAATAAACAATGCAGACATTCGTGGCACTAAACTAACATTTCCTCTGTTCATTAGTTATGTTTTCAGGCTTTACAAATGAATTCCATTTTGATTTTTTATTCACATAATGAATTTTTATTCAAACCAAAAAATAGAAGATTTACTGTTATGCAATACTGTAATAATTGTTTAAATAATATCACCACATTTGTGAACGTATATTAGACCCACCAGCTGGCGTGTATTAGATGTGTGAAATCATTTGTTTACTCTTGAACATCGGCAATAATTTAACATTTCTGCTACTTTGAGCTCAGTTTCAACCCATTTCCAGTACTAAAACCATTCAAAATCATCTCTATTTTTGTAATATATCTTCCATTTGATCAAATGAGACCAAGAAATCGCAAATACAATGATAAAAAAACATACGAAAAAACATTGCTAAGTCGCTGTTTTAATCGAAAATTACGGTCTCAGTTTTTTTTCTCTCATTATGCACTGTTTTATGTGGTGCACGCATACCACATAGATGTATTTTCTCATATCTAGGCCCAAATTTACTGCTCACAGTTTATCAGAGTGAGCTGAACTCATGGCGTAGATCTACGGTTTGGACCCTCAACGTAAAGCCGCAGATCTAAAGCACAGACCCTGAAAGGGTTAATGTGAATGGTGACTGTAATGCTGAGAATGCATTGGCTATCAAACAGCAGTTCTAAGAACTTCATTAGTTTTCATCATCAATCTTTTTTGTATTTTCCTCAAATCTTTTGTCCTTTAGGAAGGCACTAACTTGGTTACTGAGACAGTGCTTTTGGAAAACTTGAAATGAAGTGATAAGGATCATCCTGAGGTGTCCATGTATAGTTCCGCAAAAATGTAGTTTATACTTAATATGCGGCTGTAACTAAGAGCTTTGTGTGTGGTATATAATCGATGTCGTTTAGGTCTGTTAAGTTGTATCGTGCTTGTAGAAATAGACTATTATTATTATGATTGCACAAGATTAAGAATTAATTGTAGCTTGTGTATTTCAGGTTGAGCTGGTGCATTGCAACCAACAGGAGGTTGAAGCTGCCAGGCAAGAAGTTCTCCTTCTGTCAGTCCTTAAACACCCCAATATTGTTTCTTACAAGGTAGGTAGCTAGCAGTAATAATTCATTTAATTTCTTAAGCGAAACTAATGGCTTTCTCATGAGACAATCACTTGGCACGCTTTTTTTTTTTTCTTCTTCACAGGGGTTTGTTTGGCATAGGATCGTTTAGTATTGTACATCAGTATGAGGACAGATGTACTTCCAGGAATGTCCAGTATTCCAGTTAGTGACTGACTCATGTCTTGTTAGTTGATCCAGATCTTGGCCATTGGTAAAAGAAAGTTCCCAATTTAGTGAAGCAAATTGTGTAGTGCGGAAGTGCCTGAATGTGCCTGACATTTAGTGTTGAAATGAGACAGTGGAGACTTGAGTATATGCAATTTTGTCAGTGCAACCATTTTATTCTAAATTGTGTCAATTGTTTTCTCACAATACAGTGGACCCCCGGTTAACGATTTTAATCCGTGCAAGAGGGCTCATCGTTATGCGAAATAATCGTTATGCGAATGAATTTTCCCCATAAGAAATATTTTTTATTTTTTTTATTATCACACCGGCCGATTCCCACCAAGGCAGGGTGGCCCGAAAAAGAAAAACTTTCACCATCATTCACTCCATCACTGTCTTGCCAGAAGGGTGCTTTACACTACAGTTTTTAAACTGCAACATTAACACCCCTCCTTCAGAGTGCAGGCACTGTACTTCCCATCTCCAGGACTCAAGTCCGGCCTGCCGGTTTCCCTGAATCCCTTCATAAATGTTACTTTGCTCACACTCCAACAGCACGTCAAGTATTAAAAACCATTTGTCTCCATTCACTCCTATCAAACACGCTCAAGCATGCCTGCTGGAAGTCCAAGCCCCTCGCACACAAAACCTCCTTTACCCCCTCCCTCCAACCCTTCCTAGGCCGACCCTACCCCGCCTTCCTTCCACTACAGACTGATACACTCTTGAAGTCATTCTGTTTCGCTCCATTCTCTCTACATGTCCGAACCACCTCAACAACCCTTCCTCAGCCCTCTGGACAACAGTTTTGGTAATCCCGCACCTCCTCCTAACTTCCAAACTACGAAATCTCTGCATTATATTCACACCACACATTGCCCTCAGACATGACATCTCCACTGCCTCCAGCCTTCTCCTCGCTGCAACATTCATCACCCACGCTTCACACCCATATAAGAGCGTTGGTAAAACTATACTCTCATACATTCCCCTCTTTGCCTCCAAGGACAAAGTTCTTTGTCTCCACAGACTCCTAAGTGCACCACTCACTCTTTTTCCCTCATCAATTCTATGATTCACCTCATCTTTCATAGACCCATCCGCTGACAAGTCCACTCCCAAATATCTGAATACGTTCACCTCCTCCATACTCTCTCCCTCCAATCTGATATTCAATCTTTCATCACCTAATCTTTTTGTTATCCTCATAACCTTACTCTTTCCTGTATTCACCTTTAATTTTCTTCTTTTGCACACCCTACCAAATTCATCCACCAATCTCTGCAACTTCTCTTCAGAATCTCCCAAGAGCACAGTGTCATCAGCAAAGAGCAGCTGTGACAACTCCCACTTTGTGTGTGATTCTTTATCTTTTAACTCCACGCCTCTTGCCAAGACCCTCGCATTTACTTCTCTTACAACCCCATCTATAAATATATTAAACACCACGGTGACATCACACATCCTTGTCTAAGTCCTACTTTTACTGGGAAAAAATTTCCCTCTTTCCTACATACTCTAACTTGAGCCTCACTATCCTCGTAAAAACTCTTCACTGCTTTCAGTAACCTACCTCCTACACCATACACTTGCAACATCTGCCACATTGCCCCCCTATCCACCCTGTCATACGCCTTTTCCAAATCCATAAATGCCACAAAGACCTCTTTAGCCTTATCTAAATACTGTTCACTTATATGTTTCACTGTAAACACCTGGTCCACACACCCCCTACCTTTCCTAAAGCCTCCTTGTTCATCTGCTATCCTATTCTCCGTCTTACTCTTAATTCTTTCAATTATAACTCTACCATACACTTTACCAGGTACACTCAACAGACTTATCCGTGCAAGACGCCCAAAAGTATGAAAAAAATTTTTTTTTACCACATGAAATGTTAATTTTAATACACACAAACTGAAAAAGGCATGCACAATTAAATGACACTTACTTTTATTGAAGATCTGGTGATGATTGATGGGATGGGAGGAGGGGAGAGCATTATCTTCTTACTGTTTAGAAGGGGAATCCCCTTCCATTAGGACTTGAGGTAGCAAGTCCTTTTCTGGGGTTACTTCCCTTCTTCTTTTAATGCCACTAGGACCAGCTTGAGAGTCACTGGACCTCTGTCGCACAACAAATCTGTCCATAGAGCTCTGTACCTCCCGTTCCTTCAAGACTTTCCTAAAATGGGCCATAAACATTGTCATTGAAATAGTCACCAGCACGGCTTGCAACAGCTGTGTCAGGGTGATTTTCATCTATAAAGGTTTGCAGTCAACCCACTGTGCACACATTTCCTTAATCTTTGAAGTAGGCACAATGGATTCCACAACTGCATAGGCTTCTCAGGGTTAGCCCCAACCCTTCAAAATCTTTCTTAATTTCCATACTAATTCTCACCCTTTTTACCACAGGGTTGGCACTAGAAGCTTTCTTGGGGCCCATGGTCACTTATTTTCCAGAAACAGCACCGAAAACACTGTAATAATACGAAATATTCCGAGTGTATGCTTGGATGTTACCGCGGAGGCTGGCTGGTAAACAATGGGACGGCCGGCACATGTGAGGGCACATTGGACGCGTCTCGGACGAAAATCGGTAAGCGGGTTTTTAATCGGTATGCGCGGCAAAAATTTTGCGATAAAAGTAATCGGTATGCGGAAAAATCGCTATGTGATGCCATCGTTATGCGGGGGTCCACTGTATTAAAATTTTTTTGATACATTTAGACTTTTATTTGCACAAGTAACCATATTCAATTTAAGCTGCTGCATCTACTCTGTAATCCAGCATACGTCCATTAATTATTTTGGCTTCCTTTCTTCATTTATAATGGAGTAATTACAGTACTTAAATTCTCATCTTACACTTCATCTCATTTTGTTCCCTTACTATCTTATGTATATACTGTATATCACTTACCATAATATTCATTATTGTGCCAGTAATACGGAATTCCCCAATATGTGAACATTGATGAAGTCTTGGAATTATTTTTTTTTTTTTTTTATGCAGCTCTTCCAAGTTTTGGAAGTTGTGCAAAATATATCAACAAAGATTGATAGATCATAATTTAACTTCCTTTTATTTGCAGGGATCATTTGAACTGGATTGTCGGCTTCACCTTTTGATGGCATACTGTGAGGGAGGAGATCTCTCTACTCGTATCAAATTGCAACATGGATCACTATTTCCTGAACAGAAAATTATTCGTTGGTTCATCCAGATAACTATGGCACTGCAGGTGAGTGTGTGTTACATGTATCTATTATGAATGTACATGTATTGAGTATGTTACATTAGAATGCAGGCAAGTGGTTTTGATGTATTGGTGTGCTGCTGGAGTGTTAGCAAGGTAACATTCATAAAAGTATTCTTGGAAATCTGTTAACCTGAGTCCTGGAGGTGGGAAGTACAGTGCTTGCACTCTGGAGGAGGCACAGCTCCCTCACTCTAGAGGAGGCACAGCTCCCTCACTGGAGGGGCACAGCTCCCTCACTCTGGAGGAGGCACGGCTCCCTCACTCTGGAGGAGGCACGGCGCCTGCGCTCTGAAGGAAGGGTGAGACTGGTGTGGTTGAGAGGACTGTCTGAACTGTTATCTTGGCACACATGTGACAAGACAGCATTAAATTAAATTGAATTTGTTTCTTTGCATAGTATACAATGTGTGATTTACATGTTATAAAATACTGTTAAGTACAAAGATCACAGTAGAATGACATGGAAAGCATATAAATCTATAGGGGAAGGAAGGCGGGGTAGGGGTCGTCCTCGAAAGGGTTGGAGAGAGGGGGTAAAGGAGGTTTTGTGGGTAAGGGGCTTGGACTTCCAGCAAGCGTGCGTGAGCGTGTTAGATAGGAGTGAATGGAGACGAATGGTACTTGGGACCTGACGATCTGTTGGAGTGTGAGCAGGGTAATATTTAGTGAAGGGATTCAGGGAAACCGGTTATTTTCATATAGTCGGACTTGAGTCCTGGAAATGGGAAGTACAATGCCTGCACTTTAAAGGAGGGGTTTGGGATATTGGCAGTTTGGAGGGATATGTTGTGTATCTTTATATGTTTATGCTTCTAGACTGTTGTATTCTGAGCACCTCTGCAAAAACAGTGATAATGTGCGAGTGTGGTGAAAGTGTTGAATGATGATGAAAGTATTTTCTTTTTGGGGATTTTCTTTCTTTTTTGGGTCACCCTGCCTCGGTGGGAGACGGCCGACTTGTTGAAAAAAAAAAAAAAAAAAAAAAAAAGTACAAAGAAAGCCACTAACATGCCTGACCATTTCAGGCAGACTAATGCTAATTCTTACACACTACTTAAAACTAGACATAGCATGTTAACATAATGTGAACACATTCAATGGTTTTGATTAACACAGATATTAAGAATAAAATTATATTGTTTTCCACATACAACAGAACCACCATATCCATGGATTCAGTATCTGCAATTCATTATCCACTGTTTACCCTGACCCGAAAATAGCCCTTAATTTTCCTTAATAAAGGCCCCAATGTGTGAAAATGATGAAACTATAAAATGCTTCCCATCAGTAAAAAAAGTGCTAATTCTAGACATATTTCGCATAATTTATCAATTAAACTTTATCAATAAGTATGTATGTAGTATGTATATAGGTAGTAGGTTGGTAGACAGCAACCACCCAGGGAGGTACTACCGTCCTGCCAAGTGAGTGTAAAACGAAGCCTGTGATTGTTTTACATGATGGTAGGATTGCTGATGTCTTTTGTCTGTCTCATAAATATGCAAGATTACAGGCATGTCTTGCTACTTCTACTTACACTTAGGTCACACTACACATACATGTACACATTTATTTATACACACTCATCTGAGTTTTCTTTGATTTTATCTTAATAGTTCTTGGTCTTGTTACTTTTCCTTTTATATCCATGGGGAAGTGGAATAAGAATCTTTCCTCCGTAAGCCATGCGTGTTGTAAAAGTCAACTAAATGCCGGGAACAATGGGCTAGTAACCCCTTTTCCTGTAAAGATTACTAAAAGAATAAGAAGAAGAAAATTGTCAAAGTGGGAAGTCTGAATGTGCGTGGATGTTGTGCAGATGATAAGAAAGAGATGATTGTGGATGTTAAAGAAAGAGAAGAAGCTGGATGTCCTGGCTTTAAGTGAAACAAAGCTGAGGGGGGTGGGAGAGTTTCAGTGGAGAGGAATAAATGGGATTAGGTCAGGGGTTTCAAACAGAGTTAGAGCTAAAGAAGGAGTAGCAATAATGTTGAAGATAAGCTATGGCAGGAAAAGAGGTGAACTATAAATGTATTAATTCAAGGATTATGTGGAGTAAATAAAAGATTGGAATGTGAAAAGTGGGTTTATAAATAAGCGTGATTGCACCTGGAAAGAGAGAAGTGTAGAGGAGAGAGAGAGATTTTGGGAATTTGATGGAATGGCGTGGGGAGTTTTAAATCAAGTGTGAGAGTAATGGTGTTGGGGATTTCAATGCTAAAGTGGGTAAAATGTTATGGAAGGAGTAGTACGTAAATTTGGGGTGCCAGGGTAAATTGTAAATGGGGAGCCTTTAATTGAGCTATGTGTAGAAAGAAAATTTGGTAATAATAATACAATTTATGAAAAATAGGATAATAAATATACAAGGTATGATGTAGCACGTAAGAAATTAGTTAATTAGATTATGTATTGGTGGATAAAAGGTTGATGGGTAGCTCCCAGGATGTACATTTTATAGAGGGGCAACTGATATATCGGATCATTTATTTAGTTGTAGCTACAGTTTAGAGAAGAGTAATGGGAAAGAGGAAGGTGTGGTAAAAACAACAACAAGTAAGAGGGAGGTGAAAGTGTATAAACTATAAGGAGGAGGAAGTCGTGTGAGATATAGCGACTATTGGCGAAAGGGTGGGCTAGTGCAAAGATGAGTGAGTGGGGGGTTGAAGAGGGTTGTATAGTTTTTAAAAATGCTGTATTAGATGTGGGCAGAAGTTTGTGGTTAAGGAGGTGGGGGCAGGAGGAAAGAGGAGTGATTGGATTGGATTATGGATTTGGAAAAGGCGTATGACAGGGTGGATAAGGGGGGCAATGTGGCAGATGTTGCAAGTGTATGTGTGATGCGCGGGAGGTAGGGTAACTGAAAGCAGTGAAAGTTTTTTTACGAGATATGAGGCTCAAGTTAGAGTATGTATGGAAAGAGGGAAATTTTTTCCCAGTAAAAGTAGGCCTTAGACAAGGATGTGTGATGTCACCGTGGTTGTTTTAATATATTTAATAGATGGGGTTGTAAGAGAAGACAAATGCGAGGTCTTGGCAAGAGGCGTGGAGTACGAAAGATAAAGAATCACAACACACTAAGTGGGAGTTGTCACAGCTGCTCCTTTGCTGATGACACTGTGCTCATGGGAGATTCTGAAGAAAGAAAAGTTTTTTTTTTTTGCAGAGATTGGTGGAATGAATTTGGGTAAGGGTGTGCAAAAGGAAGAAAATTAAAGGTGAATACAGAAAGAAGTAAGGTTATGAGGATAACAAAAAGGATTAGGTGATGAAAGATTGAATATCAATTGGAGGGAGAGAGTATGGAGGAGGGGGTACGGTGGACATGGGATATTGGAGTGGACGGTCAGCGATGGGTCCTTTGAAAGAGAGGGTGAAATCAAAAGAATTGATGAGGGAAAAAGAGTGAGTGTGCACTTAGGAGTCTGTGGAGACAAAGAACTTTGTCCTTGAGGCAAAGAGGAATGTATGAGAGTATAGTTTAACAACGCTCTATATGGTGTGAAGCGTGGGTGATGAATGTTGCAGCGAGGAGAAGGGCTGGAGCAGTTGAGGAGATGTCATGTCTGAGGGCAATGTGTGGTGTGAATATAATGCATAGAATCGTAGTTTGGAAAGTTATGGAGGAGGTGCGGGATTACCAAAACTGTTGTCCAGAGGCTGAGGAAGGGTTGTTGAGGTGGTTCGGACATGGTAGAGAGAATAGCGAACAGAAGACTTCAAGAGTGTATCATCTGTAGTGGAAGGAAGGCGGGGTAGGGGTCGGCCTAGGAAAGGTTGGAGGGAGGGGGTAAAGGAGGTTTTGTTTTGCGAGGGGCTTGGACTTCCAGGAGGCATGCATGAGCGTGTTTGATAGGATGAATGGAGACAAATTGGTTTTTAATACTTGACGTGCTGTTGGAGTGTGACAAAGTAACATTTATGAAGGGATTCAGGAAACCGGCAGGCCGGACTTGAGCCCCTGGAGATGGGAAGTACAGTGCCTTCACTCTGAAGGAGGGGTGTTAATGTTGCAGTTTAAAAACTGTAGTGTAAAGCACCCTTCGGGCAAGACATGATGGAGTGAAGATGGGGGAAAGTTTTTCTTTTCGGGCCACCCTGCTTGGTGGAAAATCGGCCAGTGTGATAATAAAATAAATTAAAATGAAGTAAAGGGTGTGATAAAAGAGAAAAAGGCTTATGAGAGGTTTTTACAAAGCAGAAGTGTTAAAAGAAGAGCAGAGTATATGGAGAGTAAAAGAAAGGTAAAGAGAGTGGTGAGAGAGTGCAAAAGGAGAGCAGGATGAGAGTGGGAGAGGCACTGTCAAGAATTTTAATGAAAATTTGAAAAAATTTTGGAGTGAGTTAAACAAGTTAAGAAAGCCTAGGAAAATATGGATTTGTCAGTTAAAAACAGAGTAGGGGAGTTAGTAGATGGGGAGATGGAGGTATTGGGTTTGATGGCGAGAAATTTTGAGGAACTTTTAAATGTTAAGGAAGAAACAGAGGCGTAATTTTCATGCACTGGTCAGGGAGGTATACCATCTTTTAGGAGTGAAGAAGAGCAGAATGTAAGTGTGGGGGAGGTACGTGAGGCATTACGTAAAATGAAAGGGGTAAAGCAGCTGGAACGATGGGATCATGACAGAAATGTTAAAAGCAGGGGGGGATATAGTGTTGGAGTGGTTGGTACTTTTGTTTAATATAAATGTATGAAAGAGGGGAAGGTACCTAGGGATTGGCAGAGAGCATGTATGTCCCTTTATATAAAGGGAAAGGGGACAAAAGAGAACTGTAAAAATTATAGAGGAATAAGCTTACTGAGTATACCAGGAAAAGTGTACGGTAGGGTTATAATTGAAAGAATTAGAGGTAAGACAGAATGAGTAGATTGCGGATGAGCAAGGAGGTTTTAGAGTGGGTAGGGGATGTGTAGATCAGGTGTTTACATTGAAGCATATATGTGAACAGTATTTAGAATAAAGATAGGGAAGTTTTTA